CAATTAAAACAAAAATAACTATTTAGAAAAGTCAAGATTGGCTTTCTTTTCTTTTCGAGAAACTGATTTTCTAGAAATGTTTAACATTCCTAATTTGACTTCAGTATAGCTTCTACTTGAGAATACAGATACTCTGGATTTGTATTTGTCGTGAAAGTTTGCTCGATCGTCTTGGGGGTACAATTGGAAGTCCGATGTTTCAGTCGATCGATATATCGTTCCTCAAGCTGTGGTATCGTTTGGTCTACCGAGTCTGTAACCCAGTCGCGTAACATCTTTTGTGACAACATTGCGCAAACAGACGTTTCTCTAAGTATGTATGTGCGCAGTTATAAAATCCACAGTGGATCTAAGCATCCGTGTGTATTCGTTCTTAAGCTGCTCGCGCACAATGTCCGGAGACAGGAATATAAAACCACGTTGTGTAATGCTTTTTATTACATCATTTTATTCGACGAGGTTGCATTACCAGACTTTGCTCCACGTGCATCTTTAGGAATTATCGTCACACATTTCGATCGTGTCGCGTAACAATGAACTCCAATTTCTTCGTAGACGTTCATTAAAAATAATGTATACTTTGTTGCAAATGCAAATGTAGCTTAAGCATACTACTTGTAAAAGAAATGGTTTGAGCTTCTCTACTGTTGCACCAAATTGGGTAACAATATAAAAAGAATTGAATCGCTCCAGTATCCAATTACATTAGAAAGGTCAGCAATTGTAGTAGTCATAATTGAATTGCGATGTGATTGAACTACTACTTGATCGAACTAGCATAACTCTGCCCAAATTTCAAGCAGATATCTCAGTTTCCGTGCACGAATATTGCGTAACGTCGAACGGTCGTCCGGAGAGAAACATTTCTCGACGCGTTCTCGACGATGGCGCGAGACGAGACTGGTCTGCGAATGTGCACGCGGCTATAGACGTCTCGAGAACCATCCGGTGCATCCACGCGATTCGAGGCTGGTTCCTCAGTGATGACTCGGTCGCGTATAAAGAGTTAACACCGGCGGTGCACTCTGTGTTTTCTCCAGCATCTCGTCGTCGCCCTCTCGCACCACCCCCCGGGGGGTGGTCCCTTTCACGTGTCCCGGGCTTGGGTGTCTGTCGTCCGTGTTTCGTCTCCCTGACCCGTCCGTCGCTCTCTCGAGCCTGCAAGAGGAACGTGCGAACGCAGCCTCGCACACAAGGTGAGACAGCCACTCGTCGCTATTTTCGCGCACCCTCCACCCCTGCTTGTATTGTTCGCGGCCCGTATCGGCCCTTGTTAATTGGGGGAAGGATAATTAGCGTTCGATCAGAGTTCGGGTCGCGCTACGCCTCGCGTGGAAGTAAGAATGATCACAATGGGCAGCGGGAGCTCGTTCCCGCGCTCGATAGGTGGTAACATGCTTTCCGATCCGGTTCGAAACTGGGTCGTCGTGTTTTCGCGGTCAAATCGTGTGTATTCTGTGCATCCTGGGGGATACCGTTTTGTTTGTCACGCGCTGACTGGCGCTGGGTCGCCTCCGCGTCCCTAACGGGGCACAATAGAACGATGTAAAATCGTTTAGACGGTATGTGGAGCGAATATCGTAACGCGAACTGTTACTCGGGGATTCGTCGATGGATAGCGGGTCGAAAACGTGCCTCCGTGTTCGAGGAGAACGATTTTTAATTAACGAAAGGGGGATGGTGCGCTAGGAGGGGTAACTTTATTCCCTGAATATCTTTAGAAACTTGAATTCTCATTCGCTGTTCACTTTGGCGAGAGTGCAGTAGTTTGAAAGATTTGTTTGAATAATTTTAATTGATAATTGGAAGAACTACTAGCAACTACTAGTCTTAAAACGCTCGTTTTTTACGGAATATTGTAATGATAGTAATTTAAACTATGGAGAACGATTTCTTGTACAAAACTGAATCGAAGTTTTGGAGTGCACTTTTTCCGTGGGAAGCTTGGTTTTCCAGAAAATCGATGTTGAAGATTCGCCGGGGCGCGCGCGAATTTATATAAGCGTGAACCAAGTAAGTTGGCCGTTCAAGGTCACCGACTGGCTCCCCCCCACTATTAAAATAATGCTCGTCTCTTTAAATGTCAGCGTGTTTTACGCACTTTCTTCGACGGAATTCCAAAGCTGTTTCGAAACGATCGTTGGATTCCTCGGAATCTCGACATTTTCGCGGATATTTCGCGACAGTGTAATCGTCCGGCGCGGTTCAATAAATGCGCGAGGCCATATTCATCTCGCGACGCTCGGAGCCAATAGAATTAATTTGCGAATTTATCCGCGACGCGAGGTTTCCTTGCATTCAATGAAAGTGAAATTAAGTTGGTTTCATCGAGTGGCTCGCGAAGCTCGTCGAGTGGCGTTGAGCGTCGCGCGAAATGGAATTTTTCTGCGTCCGATAAGAGTTAAATCTGATCCTTGATGAATTAAAATTCAAGAGCGTCGAAGATCGCGCCGGCGGAATATTAAATTAGCCGCGCGCTTTCGTTCGAACTTGAACGGAGGCTGAATTTCGGTCCAAACGTTGGATGATAGAACGTAGTTAACCGAAATCAATAAAAATTCGGTCCTTGATCGCTTAAATTAATAAAATAAGAAGCTCCATTGCAACGATTCTGACCTTTGAATATAAAAATGATGACAGTTTTTTAATGGTCCTGTACAGAGGATTCCACTGTCCGCAATTCTAACGTAATAGACTCCGAGCAGGCAGAGATATTGTTTTAACACTGTGACAGATCCGTTTGTACACAGCTGCGAGGGAATAATCGCGGTTAATCCTCAAAGAGTACACGGATAATGCGGTTCAATTCTCTGAGGTCAGTTTCAAGTACGCCGATGAATATTTATTAGCTACTAAATCAAGGGATTCCGTCGAAGCTTTCAGAATACAAATCGTCACGCATTTACCTCTGGCAAAGCGAACATCGATGCCTCGAGGCTAGTGCATCTTGGTCGGACGGGAACGCTATGAAATTGTGACTTATACCTCGTCTAGATCTTTCGACGTATTAACTTCGATGATTTCCTGCACGTCGAATAAATGCTTCCACGAGTCTCGCTATGTGGTTAACAGGAAAAGATTATTTGAAACAAAAACAATTACCACTTCTAATTCCTTCTTTTGAAGTTCTACAAAATTGAATAATTCTTTGCTCGATTCTCGAGTTCGATTGCAGAGTGGAGGAATTTTAGATTGTAGTCGTTCATCGATGTTAGACCAGAGAGAGAAAAATGGAAACGGAAGGTTTGCAAAACGTCGCAGTGTCGTAGATAGTAGACATTTATCTGGTACTAGGATCAGAGGCCCCGGTAACTGCACGAGAAATCGTTTTCAGCGAAACGAGCTGTCGATAACAGAGGTCTGGGATCGTTATGCCGCGCTTCTTGTCGCTGGGTCTTCTTGCGATTTAGCTTCGTCGATAGGCTCCTTGTCACGCGTCTATTACATCGAAGCATTGTGTCCTGAAACGATCGAAACATCTCTGGAAACCTCGTAAGAGTTTCAGGCTCTAAGGACAAAGCAAACTAAACCGGTTGCAATCTCGAAAAATTACGTACAAAGGATCCACGGATGAAATGTATTTTTGTATTACAAATTGGTTCGTTCGTTCCGCGGCACTCCAGCTCCGTACCCTAATGGAAAGGGTTAAATATACGACGGCTTTCATCCCTGGCATTTGCTTCGCTCCTCCGAATTGTCCGGAAACGCGATCTCCTAATTGTCTGGAGTAGCGTCACGGCACGGTTAAAGGGTATCGATTTACCAGCCGCGGGACCAGGAGGAGCGAGAATCGGCGGGCAATTTGTCGAGAGCGATAAAACGCGACGATAAGGCGCGGAGTGTCCAGAATCACAAGGACGACACCGAGAGAGAGATGGAAAGATTAAGAAGTGGAACGCGCGTTGAGGCCAGGGGGGTTTGTAAACGGGTAAGCTCCCGGCCAGACGGTTCCAAGGGTAACTATCAGAACGAGGAAACCAGAGCCAGGATATGTGTACCGATCACGATTAAGATACAAGCGTTGCTCCTTCGTCGACGACGTTGCTGGTCGTTCGCGAAAGGAATCGGCTCCCAGCACGCGTGCACTGTGCTTCTGACAACCGGAGAAGTGATTTCTTTGGTCATCCATAACGTGGATTTGTGGCTAAAGAGAGATCTTCGTGCGGAATTTCAATTCCCTTGACTATTTCCCTATCTACTTAACGCCCTAGGAGCGTTCTCCGCACATGAACCCTGTCTCACCGACTTCCATGACTCAGAGCTCCAATAATTTTGTGTAGTTTTCTATTTAAACACGAAAATATACTGTAACTAGTCCCAGGACTGACATGGAAGATTCTATGAAGCAAAATCTTTTAGTGAGACAACTCATCGTGCGGAATTTCAATTCCCATGACTACTTCCCTATCTACTTAACGCCCCACGGGCGTTCTCCGCACACGAACTGTGTCTCACCGACTCCCACGACTTAAAACTGCAATAAAGTTGTGTAGTTCTCTATGTAACCACTAAAGTCTACTGAAACTGGTCCTAGAATTCTAATAGAAGATGCTGTGTCCTAAGGGTTAGCACTTTTATCTCGAAATGCATGAACGAGAGATAAAATAAGTAACTTTTACAAACAGTGGACATTGGGCGGAATTCGCTTTTCTTACTGTAGACCTGTTCCGGTAGATGAAAAGAATCGAGACTAGAATACGGAGGTCGTCAATGAAAAATCGAACGTTTTTCCAGGGAGGGCGAGGGCGGCGGCGGTGGCGGGCGTTCCGTGACCAGCGCTGGTGGGGGTGGAGGAGGAGGTGGAGGTCGACGGGCACCGAGTCTACGACTGGTGAACGGAAGAGCGACTACAGGGGTCAGTTTGCACACCAGCAGCACAGAATCCGTTCGTTCACCCCATCACCACCTCGGCCAGCAGCAGGGCGGCAACAACAACAACAACAACAACAACCATAACAACAACAACAATAACTGCCACGCCGGTAACAACCCCGCCGCGAACAATCATCCACGGCTTAACAAAGATGACAGCATCAAGATCAGCATCGAGAACACGAACACTTGCACGGACAGCCTCGTCACTGCTCTAGACGACGAGACCTTGCTCATCACTGATTTCCTGGGCGATACAGGTGAGTCGTTTCTTTGTTTCTATCATCTACCGTCGATTACCAAGGTCACTCAACCGAGTGCATACGTTTTTATGTAAGTCCAGAACCACCAGTAGCATATAGGAGAGGTTCTCAACTTTAGAATCACTTTTGATGGAAATCTCGGGCCTGAATGAATATCTGACAAAAAATACGAGTTGAGAACCACTGTCGAGTAGACGTACACAATGCGTCGCGCAATTGGGACGGGTCGTAGCTCTTGTTTCGTTGGAAATAGAAAAAAATGGCAGAGGAAAAAGTCGAACGGTTTAACAAGCTCTATCTTTATATGACCTCATTTTTTTGCTAAGTGCATTGATGCACCTACCAAGTTCAATTGCACATTCCTTTTTTACAATGGAGCTATACAAATTGGCTTCGCACATAGATCGTTCAAAACTATTAGGATAGAGAATTGATCAAATGGATATTTTATGGAATATTTCGATTCAATATAAGTTATTGTAGCCGTGTAACAATGGCGGAGCTCAGAAGACTTCGCGTAGACACGCAGACATCAGTGTCTGGGTGAACTTGAAATGCTGCCAGTCCCTTTGTGCTCAAGCACTTGAAATCTACTGATGTCTTCTATCTGCTGTCGTGCGGTTTGAACAAACGTGTCTCAAGAGACTTAATTTTAGCAGGGCTGAGCAATCCTCGCACGGCTACACGTGGCAAGTGTTTGGATAAACACGAAGGGTTACAGCTCGCGAGCTTATGTATTTTAGGTAGCCATTCGTTTTCAAACTGTTCGTTTCCGATAAACATGTTTTGAAAAGACTTTAGCTCGACAGGTTTAGTTAGAACAGGATCGATTCTCGGAATTGTCTCGATTCTTCGCTATGAACCACACCGTACCAACTCCAATGACTTAGAATTAAAATAAAATAGGATATTTCTTTATTTAACCGTCAAGTTTCACGGGAATTAGTCCTAGAACTGAAATGAAAGATACTATAGAATGTAATCCCGTAGTTTGAGTACCCCTTGTGCGGAATTTCAATTCCCTTGACTACTTCCCTATCTACTTAACGCCCCATAGGCGTTCTCCGTACACGAATCTAGTCTCATCACCTCTCATGACTTCGAAATTCAGTAAAGAAGTGTAGTTCTCTATCTACCCACCAAATTTCTATTAATTTTCGATCATTGTTAATTTAAATAGTTAAAAATCTTTATTTATTTTCTTCTGTGGAATTCGTAGGGTGCATTGACAGACGGAAACACGCTGACAAACGCGCGTACCTCCGTTTTGTTTAAGGGTGTTAGGTTACCGAATCTTGCTGGCCGGAAATTTGATCATTCGAGCTGGCAACGTATATTTTTCACGTGTTCGGCGAGAGGTTCGTGAAAAACGAGTGGGTAGAAGCTTTGAGTCTTTCCGCAGGCGTAATTTGATACGAAATTAAAATCATGTTCTGATGAAATATAAAATTTCACGGAACTACTATCACTAGAAACGAATATATGCAGAAAACTGATCAGTGATTTAAATTTCATTTTTGCTGCGATGAAAATAAAACGATACATTCGCGAACTTTCATTTTTAAATATAAAGACGAACGATGCCATTTATTTATTAAGCCATTACCTGCTTAAATGGCTTGATCGCTGAGTAATGCGTTTAATATCGATTTAATGAAATTGTTAATGTTTCGTTCGCATCAAGCGGTCCTTTGAACTATTTGTATAACACAATTAAAAAGTAAATACAATTGGATGGAAAATCAGGGAAGCTGAAGCTGATGCACGTGTCCACGCGGGAATATGGAGCACCGTTGACGTGTACGTAAGAATGCTCGTTGAATCACTCGTTTGCCAGTCGACAAATGCGCGTAACGAGTCTATTATCGGCTGTTGCAATGTAGAAAAGCAATCGAGCGGCGCACGACAACACAAAGAAGCGTATTTCCTTCGACGATGGAGTCCATATTTTTTTTTTAGCAGCGAATTGGGCGTTACTTTCTTCTCTGGTCTTTCGAACTCCCCTTCCTACGCGGATTACGTTTATTCATTTAGAATTTTCAAAGACACTAATAATGTTTTATCTTTTTTTTTTATTTTTGCATACTCAGTGGATAATTCGATCTACTCGTTAACAGCAGAAAATAATATCGAACGAACGCGTAGCGTCGGATGCGCACTGTTTGCGACAACTTCGTTTGCGGTTTCCAAGAATCCGGTTTCACTTGTGGTTTCTCAGACGAAAAGCATGGATTTCAGGGATAGTGTTACGTGTCATTGATTACCTAAAGCAACGCGTGCATCTTCCGTGGGAAATTTTTTATTCAATTATAAAGAAGAAAAATGAAGAATTTTTGGTTTAGGAAATTTTGTTGTATACCTCTTTGTAAACCTCTCAAAAGAAAATGAAAAATTATGAAATATGTAATCTGTTAATCGTGTATCGTAAAACTTTATTCGGTATAAAATCCTTTAAACGTAAAATCAAACGTGACTGAATAAAAATAATAAATCATTGAGCTTGTTTTGCACAGAGGGTTACTCGTTTCATAAGAGGCGATTACCATACCGGTTTTCACTGATGGATTTACAAATGCAATTAAATAGTCTTTTTTTTACCATCTCCATAAACCGCCATTAAATTGAATTATTAACAATCACGAGCCTGAAATATTATAGTGTCATACCCTTCTATTTAAATTAATAACATGAAATTCAGTTATACGAGGACTCCAAAAAACAAATATTTTAAATTCCACGTTAAACTCACCCTCCAGATTTGAATATTTTTGTTAAAATTCCGTCTCGAGCCGAATGCAAATTATTTTCATTTAACCTACTACTGAAGCATTTTTCAAGTATGCATAGAATTCAGTAAGTACAATATAACTCAACAGTTAAATGACGAAAGTCAAATATATATATAGATTGAAATTATTCTGATTTTTTTAAAATTGTTTTCTGTCGAAATTGCCAATCTGCATTGTGACCTGAAACTAATTTGTATTGCAATCATAAATGCACGTCTCGCTATTAACAATATTGTTTTACATCGTCAATTATTATTTTCGATCGAATTCATAGGCGTTTGTAACATCCAATCAGTTTTTAATACTGCGAACGGGACACAATGAATATGTAAATTATTTTTCCACGCGATCGTCAACAATTTGAAATAACATTCGAACAATGAAAAAAAGTCTTCCACCGAGGAATTAATCTTCCCGATGGAAATACAAATGTACTTCATTGTTCGTAAAATTCTTTGAACATTATCTAATCTTTATTCCCAGTATCTTATGCTGTTATTTCAATTTATTAGAGAAATATTTCCGAGCTATTTCTATCGCTGAAACAGACGGATGATTCGTGGTTTCCAAGTTCGACGATACATTCGAGACTTTCATTACAACGCATCCAACTTCGTTAATCCCCTAAAATCCTTTAAGGCTCCCAACGATCCCCAAGATCACATAACTTGAGACAACGATCCAACTCAATTTCAGTTTTCGAGCAACACATGAGGTGTTTGCATCGAAATTAATAAAACTTCGTAATTGAACAAACAGCAAGTCCCATAAGACCACTCATACACACCAAACGCCACTTCAACTCTTACAGCATTCTTGGTAGCAGTAACGTCATTACAAATTTTACAATTATTAAGGCGCTAATAAAGTAAAATACGATTATAAAGCAGGTTATAAACTTGAAATGTGGGTCAATAGCGGTATCATATCCTCCACAGCCGTTATCGTGTCATTATTATTAATACACCCATTTTTTATTATAATATCCACATTCCCTTGCCTCTTATATTCTTTATCTGTTCATCAAGATCTCTTAAAACTGGTCCTATAAGTAAAATGAACGATGATATGGACCATAATCACATAGTCTCACTACTCATTGTGCGGAATTTCAATTCTCAAGACACAATCCCAATCTACTTAACGCCCCATAGGCGTTCTCCGCACACTAACCTTGTCTCACTGACTCCCACGGTCCAAAACTCCTGTAAAGTTATATAGTCCTCTGTCCAAACACGAAATTTCACCGAAACTGGTCTCAGAACTAAAGAGCACGACTCCACAGGCCATAATCTTCTAGTCAGACAACCCATCGTGCGGAATTTCAATTCCCATGACTACTTGCCAATCTACTTAACGCCCCGTAGGCGTTCTCCGCACACGAAGCCTGTCTCGCTGACTCCCACGGTTCAAAACCCCAGTAAAGTTGTATAATTCTCCATCTAGACACGAAATTTCACTGAAATTCATTCACTGTCCCTTGGTCGTGCTACCTTTGGTGCAGAATTCCACTTCTCATGACGTCCTTTATGCGTTCTCCGCAGTCGAACCACGCCCCGCCAACCCGAGTGGCTCGGAAGTATAGTAAACAAGTGCATTTCTCTATCTACCCAGCAAAATTCCACCGTATCTTGTGCGCAAATAAACGACGTCGTCCCCCCGTCGAAGGCGCGAAACACGAAGAAACGTGCGGTACGCGTGATAATTCGCGCGAGCGTGCGGAGGCCCGTTGCATTCCAACCGGGCTGGCCAGTGTCAAGGTTGACGGGAGATCGTCACGTGGATTTGCATGCGTTCTGTTGGAAAGAATCGTGAGACGCGTGCCTCCTCGGGGCCCCACAATAAAACCGGTCAGTGCTTCTCTCTCCGTTCCCTTTCTTCCATCTCCGCTGCTTTCGCCGGCGGTCGCTTCTTTTTCCTCGTGTTCCGTTCGTCATTAGTCAACCTCTGCTCCGGGGGACCAGTTACGCGGTAAACCGGGGCAGACCGTACCCGCGGATCCTGAGTCTGCTTTCGGGCGATGGCCGACGTTCTGCCGCGCGTCAGCACGTTGGACGAGCAGAAGAGACCGCTGTTGCGAAAACAGAGGCCGACAGCTGACGATATCGAGTCCCAAGGTTGCCGCAAATTCGTTGCTAGCTGGCCTGATCTTTATGCTCGTAAAACGCACGCATCTGGTGAGTCCTCTGCAACGTCGAATCTTATAAGTGTTACCGAAATAAGACATGCACGGATCACCGAAACCTCGACCGGCTCTCGAAGGATGAGAGTTCGATTAACAGTCTTGAATTAGAATCGGCCGGTTAACTTGTGAAACGTGTGCTACAATATCACAGGATCGAACTGTGATATCCGCCATAGTTTTTATCATTTTTGTATAGCATCGAGCAGTTGACAAGTGCGCCGTGTGTAAACGAAGAAGTAAAATAATGATAAATTAGTATTTCAATTCTAACTTTCTAAACGGAAGAATTTCGTGATAAGTGATACAAGGAGGTCTAAGGACTACTGTAACCTAGATAGCTTACCTGGCACGAGAATTTGCCTACTACAAATATTTCACTAGAATTCATTATAAAGCTCAACTTCTCGAATATGAATATACACTATAATAGCAGGTGTGTAAAGAACTTCTCGGTCGAGGCATGAAATTGTAACTAAAACATACTCTTCTGAATACATAGATCTTGCAGATTAGGAATTTAAATTTTCCAGTGAACGAAGTGGAAATTAGTAAAACAACGAAATAAAATCCACCAATCAACTAATTTATACAGAAGCATAATAGTAGAAGCATAATCCGAATGAATTACCAAAACAAAAAATTGAACGATTTCTGAGGCAGAGATAGCTTTCATTGAACAAGAATGTGACAAGTATTGGATGAAACTCATCAATGATTCGTCTTGTACGGATAAAGGATCGCCAGAACTGTGCACCAGTTTCGGAAGACCTATTGAACGATACATCAAACTCTCGGTTGAAATGACACGTGTCAGAGAGAAAGAAATTGGACGTAAAACAAAATTTATTAGCGGACACTTTTCTTTAACAAAACGATCCTTGAAATAAAAAAGAAGGCTGGTACATTCACCGAATCGAGATTGCAACAGCCGAGTCCTTGATCTCTGAAATGTATCTAGGTTTCAATAATACTTAAAACCTTCTGTTTTAAAAGCTTTTAAAAAATTGACCAGTTGTCGATCAATCTTTATATTCGTTTATTCCCTCACTGGAGAATTTTAATTTTTCGTGTTCAGAATCTTGATTTGTCAGAACCATGCTTCGGATGATGTCACAGCTTGATGAAATAGCTCTCAGAATAGTCTTTGTGTCACTAGAAGTATCAGTTTCGAAAGAACTGAAATTCATGCAACATTAAACTTCATTGTCTTGACAGACAGGTTTCGAGAAATAAAATTCATCAGTGAATCGTTTAATCAGAAGACTACAGAGTATGAGATTGCTAGAATTGCCTTTTCAGTTATAATTGAAATTTGTTCTAGTAGTCATTCTAATTATTCATACTGCTATACTAATTAATTGTACAAGTTGATACATTGCTGAATGTTACATGTTTGAGCTTACAAATTTCTTGCAGTCTTCCAACATGTTTTTATCGTTATAATAATCATTCGTATAAACAAGTTACTGTCTTGGACTTACCTCTTCAAATAATGACATACTTAAGCTTCCTCCCAGTTGTTCTTCCAACATATTCCTGCCATTGTAGTAATTATTCACGTGCAGAAGATGGTTCACTAAGGAATACTGCAACAGTTTCAAGGTGATCATCTTCTTGCTATGTTACAGCTGTCTCATCAGACGATAAGAAACTTGAGCCCTGTTTCAGTAGTTCTTCAAAAGTTTTCCTACCATCTTGATAATTATTCATGTATATAAGACGGTTCTTTCATGAGTTTGGATCTGCTTCCCAGTAAGCAGCTTTTTGTTCTACGAGAACTGCTTTCAGATAATGGACTTTTGTATCTAATTACAGACAATATGACCGTTTCAAAATATTCCTACTACTACGATAATTGTCCACTTATACGAGCTTACTTTCCACAATATTTTTGCCAGATCATGTAGGTGAATTTTCCCGATCCCGATGTTACACTTTCACCAAAGTACAGTTGCTTTCCTGGTTTATCGATTGCTTGAGTTTCCAATGAGATGCATACGATCCAATTTCATACGATTCGATGCAACCAACATGCTCGATATCAATTAATTATCAGTAAATAATCTTCGATAATTATAGCCCAAAGTAGATTTTATGTCGGTGTATTTAAATTGAAATTGTTAAATTTATAATTAATCTATTCACGAATGGTTATCTATATAAGTTAATCTATAAATAGATAGAAATCATTAGACTAACAATCAACGCAAATGGTACTCGAGGTTCTTATATCCTCTTGTAAATGTCGTGTCCGTTATAAATAGCAGAGTTAAAGAGAATTCTCTCAGTTACTGTATTTAATAGAGCGAACAGTGCCTGGAGGTTTTTACGTTTCGCGTGTAACTGTTGATGGTGTGTATGGTATGTTTGGGAACTGGAAAGGAAGTCGATGGGAGGTCGGAATGAGCTCGCATGTGCGTCGACGATTGTGGAGGGGGCGTTTTATAGCATTGCAATCTGCTTCTGCAACCTGACTTGGGTATTAATTATATGGGGCATGGGGATTAATACTTCCAAGTCAGTTATTATTTGCAATTCAAAAATTTCATTTCCCTGCTCCTTGAAAAGGCCTACGTTTCTCAGAAATTAGTACTATTTCAACGAACCATACCTCAGTCTATAATTTCAGAAGTTTTCTCTGCGTTACAAATAGTCAACTTTATAATTGAATTCAGTAGTCAGATTCCAGAGGAAATTGGATAAAAAGAATTGAAAGTATCTTGACCTTGATCGACCCAATTTTAGAATTGAATTTAGCAGTCAGATTTCAGGAGAATTGAAAGTATCTGATGTTTGGGAAAGGCTTTTAGAAGGATGAACCCTCGAAGATTAGATGTAAACTAGAGTCTCGTTAAAAGGGTGACACTAATGGCAAGGACTGTGTTTTTTTCCAGGCAACGAGATGAATTACAAGGGCAGCGGGAAGGTCCACTTCGGAGTGGACGACGTGTCCCTCTATGGGACGCCGAAGGAGGAGCCTGGCCCGGGTTTACCGGGCCAGGAAGTCAAGCAGAGCTTCCTGAAGAATCAGCTTCAGGCCTTGTTCCAGCCGACGGATAACAAGCTGGCCATGAAGCTGTTCGGCAGCAAGAAGGCGCTGATGAAGGAACGGATCAGGCAAAAGGCTGCAGGTCACTGGGTCATCCATCCTTGCTCCAGTTTTCGGTGAGTCTTTCCGCAGTCTATCAAACTATTTTGCCTCGACAGGCAACGGTATCGACCGCGTGGACTACGAATACGATGAATTCCACGACTTTGCGCTTCTTCCCCACCTGGAAGACCACTTTTTCCTTGAAATAGCGGCCCGAGTTAGGGTCGTGCTTTGCATAAAGCATGGAAAGAGGCGAACGCCACTCTGATAGATTTTGCCTCCATTTTCTGTACTAGAATTCAATTCTGTTCAATTCCGTCTTCACAGTTAAAGTAGACAAGTGCTTCTAAAAACTTGTAAGTTTGTTTCATAGTTGGAGGTTGACCCAGTCCCTTAACAACCACCTGTACAGCAATCTCCAGCCAGGTGAAACAGATTGTTTAACGTAACCGTTAAGTAGCCATTGTTTATTTCTCAAAGAAGCTGAGATTCGCGATAGGAGACAGATCTCGAACAGCCAATTAAAATCGATCCGACCATGGACGATGTCCATCGTTTCGTGCTCACCCAATTAATCATCCCCGTTGGCTATAAATAAGAATCTCGGTTCCGCGTTTACAATTTACTTTTGGACGGTCGCTTCCTTTTCGTGACGGATTACGAGATCGTGGCGGAGTATCAGATCGCCGAAGCTTTATAGGAAGTTCGTGTATTGTAGCGTCGAAGGGGGAGATGATTGTTTCTGGCTCTGACCAGTTTGCTTTGAATTGGGATGGGAGCTGAAGCGCCCTCGGCGATCAGTTTGATTTGTATAAAAAGGAGACCGCAAAGGGTACCCCCGCGGACACGGGGATCGAAGCACAACAGTCAAAGTAAGATCCCGTGCGCGACGCGATCGTTAACGAGGATCGAGTTTGAAGGATCTCGCGCGCGACAACGCGGACCACTCCCGTCTGTCCTAATTACCAATTAAAACGTCTAATTAAAGTGCCTTGCCGCGGTAGCAGGAATTCGAATCGAGCGAAATGTTACGTCGAACGTTTCTTCGCCCGCGATTGCGCGCTGATCGGCTATGACCCAGTTCGCAATTTCGCCGGAGAAAACAATCAATGATAAATCTGGCTGCGCTGAATAACACATGACTCTATAAACACGCTTCCGGCTCCGTTATAAAAATACGAACCGCCTAAAATGTTTGGATGAACTTTGACCACCGCGGGAACGGTTCACGCTTGTATATGGAACGCGTCAAGACACCGGTACGTGTTGTTCGATAACTTTAGACGCAAACTGGGCCGAGGTGGAATTTTTAGGGAACACTTTCCTCAAAGAAAACGTCCCCGGTTGTAGTATACAATTTGAGATACAATTCAACACGATATTTGCAAATTCAATTCCAGTCCATGACTACTTAAAGTAGTAGTCATGCACAAAGGGAGAGTTCCAGTAAACTTGAATTTAATGCTTGAAAGATTTCAATTCTTGTTTGAAAGATGTTTAACACGTAGTATAAATAATATTAATAGTACTGTTCTCGATCAGTTAGCTTCCAGAGACAGCTGCAGTTGATTCGAACGGTTCAGTTGTTCAAGAAAGTCTGGTTTCCGGGTTTGCAAGACGTGCGGGCAGATTTATTTCCCAGGAACAGGTCGTTCGGTCTTAAAATTTTCCCGGTCCTACTTATATCCTCGCGTGTCAGACCTGTTGGAAGAATTATAGACACTTTGGGGATACCTGGCCTTTGTCTTCCGCGACAGGATAAAGCACTTTCTCGTATCGGGGTCGAATTCCTCGGCCGGCTTGGTCCCGGGGAACTGGAATGCATCTCTCCGCGGCGACATATTTCGAGGAAAGACCGAACAAAGAAGGTATTCGTCCTGCGGGAGCAGGATAACGCGTTCCTTTGGGTACGGACCGATCGATTCTTGTCGTTGGAACGACGATGGTCTAGTTTGGGATAAAGGTGTACCGGGAAATCGTTGTTTCCGGTGACGCGCGGTACCTACTTTCTCAAAACAATCTACACTTCGGTGTGATACAGCCTTATCTCCGCGACAACTACCTCGGAATATTCTGAAAACACGAAATAAACTTCCATTGGCGTTTGTGGGTTCGTTTAACATTGTTTTTGAATTTCTACGAATCAATCTTTATTTAGCGATTGTGTCGACTGCTAGAGTGACTAGGAATGAAAATTGAAATTTTTATATTTGTCGATATATCTTCGTGAGAGTATCGTCAATGAATCAGTGAAGACTTCCCAATGAAAATGAGTCCAAACATGACTATATTCGGATTACTTTTGATTATATGTATTGCATGGACGAAGAAAGATTAGACCTAGATCGAAGGGAATGTAATATCACGAGTGTGTAGAATGTGGACAGCAGGGAATAATTTTTATTCAATCACAGGCCTTACGAAAGTCAATTAAGACTATATTATACTATAATTATACTATAGTTTTTTAAAAATGACTCGATTAAAAAATGGTCCGAATGGGGTCGTGTTTGGACTCATTTCCATCGGGCTGATCTCGTCAATCCATTGATAATGTTCAAAACTTGACTTGCTTAATTGCCAATGGCATCGAGATCTCTGGCTCCAGTTTCGATCTAACGATCCGCAAGAAGAATCGTTCACTTATACATGTGGTAGCTTTCTGTATATTGAGGACCATCTAACATCCACCTTAAACACTTTTATCAAAAACTTACAACTACCCTTAGGTCAACACAGAGTCTTTAATGAATAGCTACCAGAAAATGATCATGAATGGCTATTTTTAAGGCAGCCAAACGATCATTCTCTATTGCTCATGACTAGTAATTATTATTTAGGGGACTTGTAGCGTGGGTGTTCGAAGAAAGTACCTTGTACCGCGTTCGTTTCTCACGAATGACCGTTTGAGTCATCTTCTTTGGCTAGTTTAGGGTTAACCGCGGGGTCAACGGCCTCTTTGTCGCGTCGCCACGGGCCGATGCAATTCCTGGGAACGAAAGGGGCGTGCGTTTTTCAAGAATCCGTCGTTATAAATATCGTCGCCTGGTGCGATAGCTTGCCGCGCGCACGCGGACCTAACTATTTTTAGCCGAACCTTTAAACGAGTATCTGACATCTGGCACGCCGGGGATCAGAGGTCATTTTTATAGTTAGATTCCGTGGACCGTAAATACGTCTCGCTTCCTGGATTGAATCAGAATAGATCAACCTTGTTCATCACCGGGAAAATCCAATAATTGCGCGGAATTCTGAGTTACGGGGATTGAGCAACCGTTTCGCGGAACGTTCCGTGGTGGATGTTGGAATATCGTAGAAATTCGCTGTGCGTGGGCGGTTGTTCTTGAACCTCCATCGCGCTGTCTATCGAAATCTTTCGCGTCATTCAAACATTTTCGATTCGAATTTCATTTTGTACGCGGTATTGAGATTTTGGTCGCTTTAATGGATCGAATGAAAAGAAAACTTGTTTTACTTGACCTAACCTCCAAATGTAAAATTTCCTTCACATTTGAACAAGCAAACATTTTACGCTGTTGGCAGGTTACCTTGCGAAACAGACTAATCGCCATTGCAATTAGAAACGTAGGGTTATCGATAAGGGAAACATAAGTCATTGTAATCATTATTAAAACGACTTTGTGTCGTAAACCAAAAGAATGTGTACACGTTGTACCAGAATAATTACATAATTGCATATAGGCGCGCTGTCGAAGGCCGCATTTAAATCTAACCTCAAATGGTCTCTAATGCTCCACGTTTCTAGGTTACCAATATACGAGCTGCAAATCCCTTTGAATGGAAATTCATAGTTTTCACTGCACTGATCCACGTGGTTTACGACTCTCGCGTGAAAGTGTAAAACGCGAAAAAAAATTAGAATTAAGCAATGATTCTTGTGGTCAAACAAGCAATTATTTATGAACATTTCATCTTGTACATCTCTCTATAAAACAATATAAAGACATAAAAAAGGACGATAAATTATTAAGATGTAATTCGAATTAAAAATCTGTATGTTTGTGATGTCCTCATAACTCCTATTGTTTGGGTCCAATCAAGATGAAATTTCATTTAGTTGATCTTTGTATACCAGTGAATAGTATAGACTGGTTAATTTGTAAAAATATTAGAAGATTTAAATATAAATATTAGTGGATGAGGAAGGCTAAATTGCTTGTTTACTTCGAGGATCGTTTCTAAATGTGGTTCTCGTTACATTATAAATCTTGCTCAATACATTTAGGTGGTAATGGTTTTCGTACATGAAATTCGATTATCGATTAAAATTGCATTCCAAACGTTTTATATCACGCCCTGTCGGAGAAAGAAGGTCGAAGTTGGATGGTTCTTTGGACAGTGGCCAATAGAGCGGGTCAATGAAATCGTAGTAGCGCAGCGGCGTCGAATGTTTAATTAATGAGTCGACTCGATTCCGCAATTTGGCTTTATAATTTTGTTTCTTCCGCGGTTGGATTAACGCCCAACGTTTGTGACTCATCCGATGGATCATTTATGAATAAACCAGACATTATGCAGATGCTACCGATCGAATGAATGAAATATAGTCGATGTAGTAATCGATGGCACTTAAAATGGCGTCGGAATTTCTACAAAGCAGATGCTGAATATTCATTGAACGTCGAATGATTAGTGGAAGATCGAGTATAAATACTCTGCAGATATTTATGCGATGGTTTACGAATTATCTACGATCGAACATTACTTTTTATTCCTGGACGTTTGAAGTTTATAGATCAGGAAGAATTTTTTAGGGAGGTTGATACAGTACGAAGTGAGAAATTACAATATTGATCAAATTTCACATACCTCCCTCTCAGGTTGTCTCTGCTCGGTTCGAAGCTGGTGACAACTTGAAAGGGTTTCGATAAGCCACAACGGTGGATGAAAAAGCTTTCGCGGAGAAACATTAATCAAGACGTTAAAAGTATTACATTGCCCGGTTAAAGTTCTTTTGGCGACGAAAGAAGCCAGCAAATATTTTTCCTTCCCGTAGAATCTTTCCTTTCATCTGATTGTCGGTCGACGAGAATACGTACTTACTAGCGGAGGA